ACCCAGCATTCGAATTGCACAGCTTCTCAAAGAGACTTGCTCGTCGAAGGATGGAAGTGATATGGGGCGGGAGCATGTTTGCTTCGAGAAGAGCGGACTGAGAGTGCGTGGTGGACAACAGACCTGTAGCGCATCTGGCTAGAGAATTGTGCATAGAGATAACTTTATTCTGGGCGCTCACATTAGCCGAAGGTCATGTGAGTTCAATCCCATAAGAGGGCTTGGAGACTCCATACCCTAAGACAAACTGTCGCATGTCTCGGGGCATGGGACCATGCTTCTTCTGGGCTACTGCTCTAAGTTGGTGTAGACGCGTGTAAGTCGAGGCAACGCTGGAAATCAGGTTGTTGCTGAAGTTGTTGCGTGGGTCGAGCCTCATTCCAAGGAGCTTGGGCATATCGGACGATCCTATGGTGTGTATCGGGATTTCTTGGTCGTTAACCTTGAGGGCGATGCTTGATTCACGGTCTTCTTGAGTATGGGACGAGAGCGTAAAGAGGACGGATTCACAATGACCTAACCATTATGCTTTCTTCCGAAACCAGGAACCAAGCAATCCTCCTAGCAAAGAAAGCACTAGAGATTACTCATTCATGGAGAAATGAGAATAGCTTATCAGCCAATGCCAGTAAACTGAAAACATCTCTGCGGAGACACCTGCAATGCTATTTAAGATGAAGAGCAGGGGATTGACATATATGAGGAAGAGGCGAGGGGCGAGCACGGAGCCTTGGGGGACTCCGCGGTAGGTCTTTCGTGAGCGACTATAATCTTCATCGATACAAACGCGACTGTGTCGGTTACAGAGGAATGCCTTGAGCCACTGCCGGATGGCAGTGCTGCCTGGAATGAGAGCGTGTTGGTTACATAGTCAGTTATGGTCTATGGAATCGAAGGCTTTGCTAAAATCAATCATCGCTATGAGCGTTCGGTTAGGGCGGAAGTGCCTCCGAAAACTATTGGGTAGCATCTTCTTGGGTATCTGTACTTAATGGTATTCATTGAGGCTCCTTTCAATGGTATCAGTAATTCTGGTAAGAGACATAATGGTACTGCGTAGGCTGCGGAAGGTGTGTTGGCAACCATGGGGCCCCTCAGCGTGTAGGGGTCGGGCCCACCACCAAATAGCATACCCGTTTGGCTGTTATGCCCCAGGTACAATGTATTGATCACGATGACCTCTAGGTAGTTGTTATTGGTTTATGGCAATATTCGTGCTACCAATATCGTAGTCCAAAACAACTACAGAAAAGGCTTTTGTTGTGGCAGGCCCCGCGATGAGTGCTTCATTTGTTGGGCCAATGGGGTGGACAAGATTTTGAAGTGAACGGAGCAGTCGGGCTTGAGAACATGGAGGCTATTATACCAGAAGGCACCCCTCCTTTATTACCATGTTGCTTTTCTGCCTCGCCAAACAGCATGCGCGGGGGTTTTGGGGGTGCGCGGCCCCGAGCACGACCCCTTCAAAAAATTCACCCGTATGGAATTGCTCTCATATGGCGGCGGTTTGGCTGGTTTAAAGTGTAGTTAATAACGTGTAATGACATGGAAGCAAACAGCATGATTAGATAATATATCTGTGGGGCTGTAGGAAGAGGGTCCCCTTATTTATCTTCCATTCAAGGGGGGCGGGGGCGCTCTGGGGGAATATCCCGTGATACCAAACCGGTGCCTGCTGATTTTTTTCGTGTAATTTTTTTTTCTTTCCACCCAATTCCTGAGAGTGAGAAATGTTGGTAATCGCGCCCTAGGGTTGGACGGGGACGTAGAACTGCAGAGAAGCAGTGATGTTTTTACTTTATTGCTCTAAAAGTATGTGCGATTCTGTTCTTCTTTAAACATAATTTGAAGTTCTTTTTATTGAAATGCTTTCTTTTTGCTTATTAAAGTACCTTTATTTTGTCTGATTTCATCTCTAGGGCTCAGGGGATGCCGCTTTCTGAAATGCTTTCCACGAATATAGGATGTTCCCTTTTCGTCTTCTTCAGAGCTGATGCCTACCATCTTTCCATTCTTTATCATCCCAAGTCCGTTGCTTTTTTGATTTTAAACCTTATGTAGTACTGTGAAGAATAATGGTATCTAAAACTTTCAATCTCTTCAGCAGTCTTTTAATTCATCTTCTACCTCCTAGTTGATGACGTCTTTTTTTTCTCAGTATAAGAGTTTTTTTTTTATGTACCAATTGGTCTTGTTACTTAAATCACAAATTTCATTGATTATATTGAGGCTATTTTATTCTTTTCTAAAGTGGTATTACTTGAACTTGTTTCCCTTAATAAACTTTTGGATTTTTAAAATTTTACTGTATATATTATTCTTAACACTGCGGTGATTTGCTTAAATTAATAGAGATTTTCCATGATTTTCGCAACGAAAATAATAATGATAAACACGAATAATACGCGTTTATATTAATGTTATCCTATGCATCTGAAAAATGCATGATTTTAAGAATGATATTTTTTTATTGTTATATTTCAACTTCTACTATTCAGTGTCAAGTAGAATGCTTAAACCTTGGTTTATTGACTTCTAGTCGCATGTTTTTAATTTTTTTCGTGGAGATATTTTACTTTGTGAGGAATGTCTCAAAAAAAAAAATATCAACATTTATTTAATCAATAAATTTAATGAAAATAATTAATATCTACATCGTGTCTCTCTCACTCTCACTCTCTCGCTCTTTATATATATAAAGCCTTGGGTGTTCAGAAAGAGTTTTATGCCGTCTCTTTTTTTTTATGTTATTATTTATCTTTTAAAAAAAAACTTATCATAATATATATCACATGGGGGAAAAAATACTGTCTGCTCCTTTTACCCATTTTTTTTTGTCTGTATACTGTCAATTTGTTGCTAAAGTTTATTAGAAAGGATGATTTTTTTATCAAAATTCTTTAGTGATGACTATTATAAAGAATCTTTGAATACGAATCCGGTTCTCGCTGTGCGTATTGTGGGGGATAAGTCTCTTCCCCTTATGAAAAGCTTGATAGAAACTGAGACTTTGGATTTTCAAATACATATAACCTTTTCCGATTCCCTTGACGAGATTAAGCCTAAAAAGAGAAAATTAAATGCAGCGCCCAACAAGTCTTTGCTAAAAAGCAAATGGTGCTACAAGCATCAATATCAAAACTTTGGGTGTATTTTGTTCACTTTGGTATTATGTGAACTCCATAGTGAGACCGCATCTGATCAACTGAATTTTCTTTTGAGGCAAGTCAATGATAGACTGATTTGCTCTAATATTGTCATTGTCTGCATCACTCCGGAAACAACAAACGACATTGACAAAGAGTTCTTGGGTCATCTGCATCAGCTCTCAAAAAAGATGCTCAGTGAACGTTTATATAGTTTTACTGCGATCTGCGTAAATTCTACGAATCACTTCGTAGTATCAAACCTCAGAAAGACTTTAGTCAATGCAGCTTTAGATTACCATAAAAACGAAATTACAAGGCTGAAGGAAAAGAATAAATTATTATCCCACCAGAATTCACCATCACCTCTCGCACGAGTGTATTTTAAAATAGCATGGCACTATTTGATTCTTCGTAAATATGAGGAGGCGAAGAAGAAATTAATGAAGGCTTATAGGATCTTAAGAACCTTTTTCCCAAATTTTCCACCCTTCGATGTGCGCATGGTTGCATCCCTTCTTTTGATGCACATTATATCAGTGCTCCCACTATGTGGAGAAGTCCTCTCCCTCAAATCGGAACTTTTTGAGGCATTTAGTTCACACATCAACTGGGTTGGGTCCGCCCTCACGTCTGAGTATAACTACAGTTGCAGAAAGCTTGTACTAGTTCTAAGGAGTGCTTTAGTGGCTGAATGGTGCGAAATTCTAGCCAGGAAAACTCTTGATATAAGCCCACTGATGCGAAGTGATCTTCTGATATCTGCTGCCAATAATTTACAGCAAATCAAATCCATTTCAGAAAATGCATTAGAAAGGAAAGCAATCTTTTCTCCCGTATACATTGGAACGGAATGCTTTAACGATACCTACGCTGATGTTTTTTTTGGGATGTTTAAGCATTCAGTGTTGTCAGTTCATATCTCCGGATTATTAGAGGAAGCTAGTGCAACCTCCACCCCTGAGTATCGAAAGTTTGAAAAGGCTTATTTCGAATTGTGTGCACAGGAAACACTTAGCTTAAATCTTCTTGAAAACCTCCTTGATAGGGACTGGCATTCTCTCTACGTTTCCGATTTTTTTAGCGCTCTGGTTCTGGACAAATATAAAGATATACCTGTGGGTACCTCAAAGGATGAATTGATTTATTATATCCTTATTAATGGTTGTGTGAGCCCACTTTCGATATCATCGCAGATGCAATTTTGTAGAAGACTCGAAAAATTATCAAAGCGACCAGCTCCAACTTTACGCTACCCGTATGGTAGTTTTCAGCCACCCTTTACTGTTGTTGCACAAATTGAACACGATTCTGTAGAGGCATCGGAAGGCAGAGCACCACTAATTTTGATGTTCTTCACTACCTCTGTTAAACCCATTACATTGTCCAACATTCAAATATCCTTACTGGACATTAATTGTTTAGATGTAGATTCAGGTATGCTTCAAACTTCCTTACCTGGTTCTTATGAAATTGAAGCGCGTGAGTCTACAAAGGCCAATCTCGAGATCACTTTTCCGCAAAATGGTAAATATATTTGTCACAAGTTATGGGCCACTGCTTCAATAGGGATCTCCATGTTTGACGTCGTTTGGTCTCTCCATCAATTGGATGGTGAGGTCAGGTCAAAACGTTTTCCCATTTTGGCAAAAAAACCAATTTTGAATGTTACGAAACCTATTTCATTTGCTAAAGTGTCATCTACTACTTGTGTAGATGCTGTGGAATATGAAAACTTTGAAGTAACTATTACCGTTGAGGGAAAGGAAAGTCTGTTGACTAATGTAAGCATCTCGTTTACCTACTTGCCCGAGTTTTTTTCTGGAGCGCTTTTTTGCTTTTCCGCAGAGAATGGAGACATTAAGCTTTGTGAGAACATTCTTCGCTCGAAGGACGGGTCGGTCTATGCGCTTAATGATATATCTCCTGAACACACCATGTCTTTTGTGCTTCGTGGGAAATGTTTAAGGAGTGGTGTGTACCAAGTTCCAATTATATTTCGTCACTCCACAAAGGATTTTGTGGACATGGAAATTGTAAGGATTTCCGTATGGGTGATCAACCCACCGTTTTCCGTTGACTATTTTTGTTTTACTTCTACACTGTGGTGTTCCTACACTGGTGAGGTGAATCTTCCCACGACAAATTCCGTGTATCAGCAGAGGGACTCAAATATTCTTGAGAAGCCAAGGGATAGCAAGCTCTTACTGACTTCAACTTCAACCGCAGAATGGTATAGCAAAAATACTGCACTTTATTATGCTGTACGTGACAAGGATGCTTCCTCAAAAGCACCGTTAAGGACCTCTGTGGGAGAAATGGTGACATTTCTTATTAATCTAATATGTACAGCAGGGAAAAAAATCACTGTGTTAAAATCTGATGTCATATGCAGCGAAGAGTTACAGCTCCACAGTCTATCGTTTGGGGAGCTTCCATGCGTTTTGGATGAAGAAGAGTCGGTGTCAATTGTCGCCCAACTATGTGCACGAAAAAAGGGTGTTCTCTCACCTGGATTCGTCCGCATTCTGTTCAAACCCCAGTTTTCCTCCTCTCCTCAACTCGTGGCTGATCTATCACTTCCACTTATTATAATTGAAGACGCTGCCATTAGGCTGAAGTATGTTTACCCTTCTACCGTTCTCTTTGGATACATCATAATATTGAAATTAGTCATCGTCAACATGGGGAAGGATCTTTTTCGTGGTGAGCTCCTCGTAGATACGCGATCAGACTGCTTTAGTATTGGTGGACGCACTCGATGGAATCTTACTGTTTGCCCACAAGATAATACCGAGGAGCGAATAGAGCTGATCCCCTTGAAGGTTGGTGAATTGCCGTTGCCACTTATTCGGCTTAACGACATTCATGGATCACCTGTAGTAGCACACCCTAACGTAGCACATCATGTGACAGTTTTTTCAGGTCAACAGCCGTGTTCGAATTTCGATACACTGATACAAGTGACTTAGAATGATAAGACAGCCTGAAACTTCTCTATATGAAATTACCTATTTCGGAAATGCTGTTGGCTTTTCTACCATACCGTATCGTGTCTTCCGCATATCCATGCGCCAAGCCCCCTTCCCCTTTCTTCATAATTCCACAATTATTTCTAAAGGCTTAGTACCAATAATATCATATTAAAAAAACAATATCAAAATAATGCGACCCGACGTAAATGCGCATTTCATCATTGATGAGGCAGTGCGGCTAGGAGAGTTACCTTCTGAGGAGAACCTTTCTAGATTGCGAAAAATGACTCCACTTGATTTGTGCAAGGAAATGAAGTCTTATTTATGCAACGAGGACACCTCCGGAGTGGCTATGCAGGTACTGGCCCAGGCTACCATGCAAAGGAATCATTTGCATGATGAAGAACTATGTGCCATTGTTAACTTTCTTTGCGAAAAGGCGACAAAGCCTAAGTTTACAGCAACAGCGCTCAGCAGCCTAAGAAGCATTGTAGACGACCTCAGTCAGGAGTGCTCAATGGTGTTATTTAGTACGCTAATAAACTCCTTGATAAAAGAAATGCCTCTGCAAAATCTTCGCTTGTCAGTGCGAAGAGATGGCTTTGCCATCATTTGTTTTATGATTAATAAGAATACTATTGAGTCTTGCAAAGCAGGATACCTTCGTGCATTACTGGAATTTATGGATGGCGAAGCTGATCCGGTGCTTGTCAACGACTTCTTCCAGCTTTGCAAGAGAATCCTTATGTACGCAAATCAAGAAGAACTCCAATCTGTTGTACAAAGCTATTTTGACAGCTTATCTGCGTACTTTCCAGTCGTCTTTACGCCTCCACAAAAGTGCCCTATTACCAAAAGGGATCTCCAACGTGGACTGTTGGCCTGCCTCTCCGATCAAGTTTTAGTTGACAACTCCATCCCTTTTTTTATTAACAAACTGTCGTCTCCCTCTATGGTAGTGAGACACGAATCTATAGAGGCGCTGGAGACAATCATCGAAACGGGTTCAGCCCATGTTGGAACGAAGCATCTCCTTGATATGGTATTACACACGCGCAATGAGATCATTAGGGTTTGTTTTTATCCCCAATATGATGATAATTCGTCAACAAAGAGTTTTATCTCTTTATGTTTCGGCCTACTGAAAAGTGTCAGCAAAAAATGTGGCAAAGATACCGCTCTGCCAGCCTTAGAGGTTTTTTCGCCCATCAGCGAAGGTGTTATTAGCTCGATCAATTCTGAACCCACCTTGTGTTCGGTTTACGGTACCATGTTGTACCACATTCTCACCGGATCATTCTCTTGCAGTATGGTATGTGGAGCCCACCTTCTTACGGTGCTCTGTGCGGAGGAGGATAAAGACCATCTCTCTAGTGTTTGTTTACTTTTATCTGCAGTCTGTTCTGGACTAGCTGATGCCCTTCGTGCTTTCGCGCACAATAATAATACAGAAGCGGATGGTTTGAGAAATCGCATTGGGCAGCCTATTTTGGAACGGCTCCTGGATCTTGTCAGATACTGTGGACATCAGATAATCGCAAACTCAATTACTGATGAATTCTCTACTAGTTGCATAGTTGAGTTTCTTGCATCTTTTTTCCGGCTCTCAAAAGAGTTGACTCCATGTTTTGGGAAAGGTGATGCGGAGCTCGGATTGCATGCGCTCCTCCACACCTCTGTTTCACTAGCCTCGTCGCACGTAGCATCAAGTAAAGCGATCTCGTTGATTTGTAATATTGCTTCCCCTGACGCTGATGACGTAATAAAAGTGATACGTGAAAAGCTCATCAATAATACTACCCTAGGCGTTTCTGCAGATAGGATGTTGTCTTTACTGGAAAGGGTAGCGTGCATTTCTATGCAACATGCTCTTTTTGTTATCAACGAATGCTTCTTTGGACCAACTATTCCAGTCCACAGCTGGCAAACAGAACTAACAGAGGTACAACGGTCGAGTGCTGTGTTGCACATCCTGGATAATATTAATAGCATAGACGACAACACGGCTATTGATTTGTTGAAGAAACTGACCACAAACGAGGGGAGGTCCTGGTATTACTTTAAATGTATTTTCTCACTCTTCTCAAGGACCTCAGAGGCGTTCCATGAGACCGTTCGCAAAAACCTTGACCAGCTGCCATTGGTTGTGGCAGCTGTATTAGCGTGCTCGTCCACCCCTACACCTTGTTCTGATTCTTACGAAAAGACTAAGTGCTTGCTGCATCAATTCGACGAATTGGTTCGTTCTTCACAAAGTCTAATGGTAAAGATGGTTTCCATGAATGGCATCTCTGGCGTCGTAAGCACTTCAACTCTGAAGTATGATGAGCTGAGCAAATTCCTTAGTGCACCATTGGCAGGTGTTGCTGTGCACATAGCCACGCTATGGGGCATATGCTTTAGGCCATCGAGCAGTGAAAATTCCGACTCGACAACGGCGACAATAACGTCTTCTTTAGGCAATTTACTGTTAGTTGCAAACGAAAATGAAGTACTTGATGCATTATCATTTTTACCTATTCAATTTACAGCTGAAATGTCGAGGAAAAGGCAAAACTTGTTAAGCTGTTACGTCTCTATTAATGTGGATTCCGTTGTGTCACTTCGTGTATACTGGAAGGGCATTAGCTGTCTATTAAAGGTGGAGTCAATTAAAACGCAACCCGTAAGCGAGGCTCATTTTATAGAGCGGCTCCATCAAGGCTGCCGGGTTGGTGTGGCAACGGAGCTCCTAAGACAGGCTCTCTGCGCGTTTATTAAAAATCAATCATCAGCAACGCTGGTGATTAAAGAGCTATTGTTGAACCCTACTTTACTGGAGTTTGTTCTTGAGGGACTCCGCTCCGAACGCTTAGTGGATCGCTGCGAGGCCCTGGGTCTCCTCTCATCATTTTCTGCACTTGCAGTAAATATAGTCAATGAGCAACATAGCGAAAGTAATCTCTTTCGCAAAGCTCGTGACATCATACTCAACGTCACTCAAATATCTTTAAGTGATAAGAAACGAAAGGTGCGCAGGGCTGCGGCACATTGCCAGCATGTATGGTATAACTTAAACTAGTGGCTGAACCGTGATTTATGTTTAAGCACAAGCATTGGTCACAAACGTAAAATCAGACATTATCTGCTTGCATTATTATTTATCAAATGTAGCTCCCCTAGCCCTTTTGGTGTACCTATTCTCTTTTTTAATGTTCATCTTTGTTTCATCTGTATACTTAAGTCCCAACAACGACTCTAAATGAGGGCAACACTTTTGGTTAACACTTCGTCTCAGGAACTTGTACAATCTATTCGTGAGGGTGCGGGTAGGTACTTTAGGCTCTTTGAACTCCTACTATGCAATGAACATGATTTGATTGCTGTCTGGCACGATGAGGCTATATGCCCCTCAAACGACCACTTTGTGTGCTATATAACCGAGACAAAAACACCTGCCAACGCGGACGTCAGCTACGCACTTTTCTGCGCGCGTATTCCGGTCCTTGCTCTTAAACCATGTGAGGTTGGGCTTTCTTCGTTGCTCTTTTCACCAGCCAATCTTCCTTCGTATGGGAAAGATAACATTCAGATTTCGATTGTTGAGCTCCTGCATTTTTTCTTCCCCCGGAAGTGGGATTGTGAAAATGGCATCCTTGTCCTGGAGGGCGGAGATGGTGCTGGAAAGCAAACTCAAACTAAACTTCAGATCGAGCATTTAAGGGCTGAGAATGTTTCGGCTCGAACGCTAGACTTCCCAAATGAGAAGGCGCCTTATGGCGGCGTCATACGAGCTATTCTTTCTGGTAAAAAAGGTGGAATTTCAGATTTAGATCCAAAACTATTCAGCTTCATATACTCACTCAATAGATATGGATGCTTGCCAGAGCTGAGACTCTGGATGCAGCATGGGCATGTTGTTGTGTGTGACCGTTACTATACCGCTAACTTCGGGCATCAGGCCGCTAAGCTGCCTGAAAATAAGAGAATGAGCTTTATCCGACACCTGGAGGAGTTAGAGGTAAATTGGTTAACCCTACCATCAGCCAAAAAAGTTTTTTACCTAGACCTACCACACAAAATCGCTATGCAAGCTATGAGGGGTGACCCAACGCGTAAGTATTTGGATATTCACGAAACAGCAGGTGAAACATATAAGAACAATGTTCGGCAAACATTCTTGTGGTGTTGCAATGAGTTAAAGGGATGGAGATGTATTAGTTGTTGCGATGCAGACGGAAGAAGATTCACGCCTGAGGAGCTGCATGAGAAAATATACAACGATGTGTGCAATTCCGGTCTGTCCAAAAGCTTCACAAGGACCCTTTAACTATTATAGATACACATACGTGTGTGTGCTTTACACGGATTTCTTAACGAGTATCAAGCGAAATAGAAAAAATTCTCATACATTTAGTGTATTTTTTTCATTCTGAACATGTAAAACGCTACGCATACCTTTCCTTTATCATCCATTTATTGCATCTCTAATTTTTTTTATACCCAAAGGTCAAGGATGGCGACATCAAAGATTCATGCCGATCGCAGCAAGAAGCTTCACCAGCTCATTAAAAAGAAGAGCACGGTAAACCGCAACCGCAAGTCCCCACGCCTTTACATGAAGGGTACGTTGGCCGGTTACACCCGTGGCCTTCATGGGCAGGTCAAGAAGACGGCTTTGGTGCGCGTTGACAACGTCAACACTCGTAGCGACGCCGACTGGTATGTTGGAAAGCGCGTGTGTTACGTGTACCACGGCTACAAGGTGAAGCGTTGTGTGCGTTGGAGCAAGGCCCCTGCACGGCGCAGCAACACACGCGCCCTCTGGGGACGTGTAACTCGTCCCCACGGTAACTCTGGTATGGTGCGTGTGAAGTTCAATGGCGCGTCGGTTCCCGCGTCCGCCATTGGGCGCCGTATTCGTGTGTACTTGTATCCCAGTCGCATTTAATATTGACCATTGAATTGATGTTCTTTTATATTATTTAGGCTTTGTTTGAAAGCCCGATCTTACACGATCATATATAAGTTTTGCTGGTATTGTTCTATCTGAAAATTGACTCTCTTTACCTGAAATCATGAAGGATTTCTCGTTTTATTCCTCATTTACTTATCTCGTAGATCATTTTCTTTCTACTTATTCACCAAGGTTTGTTTCATCGGCCGTGAGGAAAGGCCTTCCATGTTAGTTTCCTCAAATGATTGTGACACATTCTCTGACACATATGGTTGCATTTTCAATGCGTGTGTGGGCTACCAATCACCCTTCCCAATCGCCCGTTTTGGGGACCAATTAAACTCTTCGAAGGAGATAAGGGCGGTGGCCATGGTAAGACAATCTGGATTACTGAAGACACCCCTTGCATGGCGGCTCTTGAGTCTTGATATCTCGAAAAGAGATTCTTGTTCTTCATTTGAGCAATTACTTTCAATGCGGAATAATTTTTTGGAATTGAAAAGCGAGAACCAGAAGCTTTTCCGAAACATTGACCAGTATAAACAGGTTACAGGGCTAGCGTTCCGAACACATGAGAACAGCTTTTCGGCTAGTTTTTACCATCAACCACAACAGTTGTCCCTGACCGCGAAACACATAGCGGTAAAAGGAATTCAATCTCTCTCTTTCGCCTATGGCGATTGGGTATGGTGTGCAGGCAGCGGTGACCCCCTCACTGTCTTCTCTCTTGACATGGAGCACTTATTTTCTGACACAGTAATAAAGTCAGATTTCAGTTTAGAATTGCCCTCAGTTGGAAGTTGTAGTATTATGACTGCAGCAGCTTCGACTGCCATAGTTTTCCATGAAAGGGGAATATATACCGTTGATAGGCGAAATGGGAAGCACTCTTGTGCTGAGTTCTATATAGAGCAAAGACATATCTGTAGCGGGGGGATATCTGGAGAAGAGTATTTAGTGTGTTCTACGAAATCAGAGGAACTTCTTGTGCTTGATCGTCGAAGAATGGCGGAGCCTTTGTTGCGACGAGACTTTGGTACTGCAGCATCAGTTCGATCGCATAACAAAGACAGCGTTGCTCTTCTCGTCACGCGAAACCAAGTTGGCGTCTTTGATGTGATTTCACTGGATGTTTTAGGATCTGTCCAAGCTGCAGATGGTGACATTCTAGATGCAACTTTTTTTCGGTGTACATCCCAGACTATACAGCTATGCATAGCAGAGTCCAATGGTATGGTGTATGATTGGTCTATGACACTCTGAAGAGTTAGCCTCTCGGACAGAATTCATTTCTCCCCAATTTTATCACCTTTAAAAATGTGATGTATGCGTAAAAATATATACCTATATATATATATATATATAGTATATGTGGACTCCTACTACTTGCGATTATTTATACTTGTTTTCTTGTCTTA